ACTCTACAAATCTGCTAAGGTGACATTCTAAGAGATTATGATGGGGTAATTTTTATATACCCTACTAGTGATGACTAGGTCACTAACTGGAGTAGAGACTAAACAAGGGTTCTGAAAGAGTTTCTAGACTGATATCAAAGTATACTAATATATAGTGAGTTATAAAATAAAGAGTAGCTCATGTATCTAACAACACATAAACATCTAAATGAAAGACTCGTAACATACTAGTGATCACATTAGGAGAGCCTGGAGAGCATACAACCTATTCTAGCGTCGATCGCCACCGGTACTAGATGAAACACCATGCTGAGTTAGGCGACCTAATCTTGCTGCGTAAGTTGTAGATAGAGACCTATTGTTGTTACCTTTCTCCGCTGCCAGGAAGAACATGTCTCAACCCGAGAGAACCGTCTAGTCGTACGCGGCGTATTCAACTTCGAAGAGATCTTATACAAGCGCTTAGCATTCATCATTGCATATATCATATAATAAAAATGGAAAATAAAAAACTTTTACAATATAGAAGTCAACTTCTTTTATATATCAAAATAGGGACTAACTATGTATCATAATACCATCTAGACATAGGAATATGAAAGTTGGGACTTAACCCTTATATCAATACGAAGTTTTAGAATAGAATAGAACAACTTAGTCTATCAAATATACGAAATGAACTAATCATAGGTTCTTTGTCCTTGAACTTGAGGACTCACCAACTTAGGAAAGCAAATCCAAGCTTCTTCAAAAATGGTCTTGAATCACCTTAATGGACCGAACCTACATTTGTTGGGAAAAAGGAAAATAATATGGGTTAGTATAACACACGTACCAAGTATGGTGTCATGCACATAAAACATTTGAAATATGCACAAAAGGATATTTTAGTTGAAAATATGTTTTTTGTCAAGTAAAACCCAATATGCATACAAGATAGGGAACATAAGCCAAATCAACATAATAGTAACCCATCAAGCAACTTAGGCAACACTAGTGCAATGCCAAGGATAGGATTCCATAACGATATCAAAAGCTATGTGCCAGCTATAAGCCACCTACTACATTCATATGTCATAAAACCATAATCATCATAAGCATACCATAAGATCAACCCAACTATGTTCATAATGTAAATAAATAGTTTACAATACATAATCATAAGAGAACCCTATTACAACCCCTATTAGAATCCTACATGTGCAATGTGCAAGAGAAGTCTCGTACCTTCCATTCCACTATGTGGAACGCCTCGAGAAATCCCTAGTGGGAGTTCTTATCCTTAGATTCATTCATTCCTTTATTTGTACATTTAGGAAAAGATTGAAATAACCAACATAGACCATAGGAGCTACATGGAATCCAATGTTCTACTCCCACACAGAAAAGAGAGGGTTTCCACTTGCCTAAGGTGGAACCTTTCATACTAGCTACGTAGGTGGATCCACTAAGTTATAGTCCTATGTGGACACATAGTTAAGGGACTAGGAGATTGTTACTAGAAACCCGAACTTGCTAAATGTAGAAGGTTTCCAACTCATGAGACAACACATATATTGGGAACCCTGACTTGCTAGACGTAAAAGGAATCCATATGGGAAGTCGGACTTGCTAAACGTAAAACCCCCATCTCATCTTCATGTCCTCTTGGTGCTACACATTTATTCCCTTTAGAAATCATCTTTAGTCATTACATAAGTTCACATCAATCTTTACTAGACATAAATGTCAACATCTTATCATAATAGATCATAGTTGTTCATAAGTAAGAATGATCCTTTAACTTTAGAAACACTACCAAGTGAGTAAACCTTTCACATTATGATTACATTATAATCATGAGAACTACCTTTCAATTATATAACAATCTTAATATAGCAACAAACATACTTCATACATAATTCAAGTGTATAGGGTTAAGGATGAGGAGAACTTGTCATCGATTCCACAATAAAACAATAGATATGGAATCATCACCACCAAAGTGATTCACCTTTTATACATAAGTTTTATGGAAAACAAACCTTCATACCTTTATGTCTTTCAAGGGAATTGATCTTCAATAAACCCAACAATGCATAATCAACACATAATATAAGGTAATTCATAAAGTAATAACATAACTAACATAAACATAAACAATTAATATGTTCATCATCATCTTCAACCAATCCCCTATATCAAATTCAAGATTTATGAAATTATGGAAGAACATGGGTCTAAGGGAATTTCAAGTGAAAAACAAAAATTAATAATTATTTTACATATAATCAACCCCATATAACCATAATTAATCATAATTGATCCATAAAATTCGTTTAGAAGGAGACCCATGTATAAGAGATAAACCCTAGCTTTTTGGGAAACTTTTGAAAGCTTAATTTGAGAGGACCTCTTGAGGAAAGGATTCCCAAGAGTGAAAAGCAACCATACCTTGATAATCTTCAAATATTTATGCAAGAAATTTCAATTCTTGAAGCCCAAGTAAAAGCTTTCCCTTCCTCTTCATTGGAGTCTTGAGTTAAGACATTTTGGAGAGAATTTATGTTTTGATTTAGTGTGCTGAGTTAGAATGACTAGGGGTAATGGGGTTGGATTCTTATAGTTAGGTTTATTTAGGTAATTAAATCATTAACGAGCCCCTTCTAACCCCTAATTAATTAACTCGAACTTGGACCCCCAACTTAAAATAATTTTATAAGAAACTACTCCCTACCTACGAGCCCTAGGTGGCTCCCTACCCTCGTGCTACTGCCTCGTGCAATGATTTTAAGGGTGGGAAAATGGGTAACTTGGTGGGTATACTAAGTCTCAACCTACTAATTCCTTCCATGCCCGTCACCCACTTGACGGTCCGTTAAGGATGGTCGTGGAAGGCTGTTGGCTTTTGACAGCTTTTTGCCAAACACTTGGGTCCTCCTCAAGGAACCCCAGGGTGTTTTACACGGACATTTGACCCTAAAACAGTATTTTACTTATTTAAACATTTTTACATAATTTAATTACTATACGACACTTCAAAACCTTCATAAGACCAAAGAACACATACTAGTTTGATTTCACTAGTTTACGGACGTCGTGATTGTTTCTTAATGTTTAGGCTCTAATACTTCCAAACCAAGTGATCTTGGGCATATTTGAATTCCCATAATGCTATGTATGCCTACATGGTGGCTTAGTTTGAAGTTGTTAATTCTAGGTTAAGAGTCTTATTTAGTGAATTATGTGTTTCCGAACTATCGACATGATTAGATGTGCAGGAAGGTGAAGTTAAAGATATCTGCACTAAAAAGGGTTAAAAAGAGGTGACAGGGAAATCAGGATGAAGCGAGTAAAATAAAGCAAGAAATGCACAAAAGACATTTGCGTGCTAGCTCCACGTACGCAGATGGGAGAGAAATCTCGAGCGTGTAGTCTCCACGCCGTCCAATAAAGTGAAAAATCTCAGTTGAAAATAAATTGCAAAATAGTGCACTTCGTGTCAGCCCCACGTCGTGCGATGCAGAGCCCAAAATTGTAAATCCGGAATTTATTATAAATAGTGCCTCAATGTAATTTGGTAAGGGTTCTTTTTTTAAATTTTCGAAGGCAAGTCATCAAGGAGGAGACTTTGAAGTTTTTGGGGTTACTTTCTATTTTTCTTTTCTTGTAATTCTTTGGAATGATTTTGACAATTTCGAATATCGTTTTGAAGATTATGAGTAACTAATTACCCTAGTTCTAGGGTTGTGGCTACAGGATGAATGAAGTTTGCTTAATTTACTAAGGGTTTTACCAAGAGTTATCTATGATTCTTTCTTACTTTTGTGCTTGTTATATTTCATGAATGGCCACCATAAAAATAAATCTATTGTTCGAATGAACTCGAGAGAGGAATTAGAGAATAGAACATGGAAAGTAAGAAGTTTGGTTGACTCTAAATAGCTAGGGTTAATTCGTTTCTAGTATAGAGATATGACTAGAGACCTTATTAGGATCATCATGCAGGAAGATAACTTAATGTTCAAATTTTATTCATCTTATCCACGCTCACCGATGTAGTTAAGGTTGTAATTTTTGTAGGCGGTTAGAGGTCGAGAGACCATGATCATACATCTAATCCTGTGGTTCAGTGATGAGATAATTTCAAAACAACCTTTATTTGATGATAGCAACTTCATGAGTCCTGATAAAAGCCGCAGTCCTAGATCTTGTCTATAATATTGTTTGCAAGTGAAGAAATTGAATCAATGTAGCTAGTTTTAGTTAGACTTAAAATTTAGTAATACTCTTTATAAAATCTGGACATTAAACTCGTACGACCACGTGCACTTTCTTGTGCGATTTGATCACTACAAGTTTTTGGCGCCGCTGCCGAGGAACTTCAGTTATTAGAAGATATTTAATTTTTCTATTTCTAAAAGCTAATCACAAATTTTGACAACTTGATCTTAGTGTTTCATTATTGCAAGTATTTAGATACTCCAAAACTGAACGATGATCGAGAAATGTTGTAACCACTCTCTGAACCTGAAAGATTCATACATAGGAAACTAAGACAAGAAGAACATTTAATTTCTATAGAGTTTGGGGAATCACCAACTCCAGTTCACAAAATTGAAGAACGAGAGTTGACACCTGAAACAATGGCTGCTAATGAAATGAGAGTTAGAGATGTGGCAATTCCACGACCCACCAATGTTACTTCTTGTATTCAGAAACCTGAGGCTGGTGGAAGATTTGAATCAAACAGAGCACGGTGCAGATCTTGCACTCAAATGGCAATTTACTGGTCTCTCTGATGAGGATTCCACAGTTCAGATTCAGAATTTTCTAGAGATCAGTGACACATGTACTCCAACTAGAGTAAATAAAGATTATGTGATGCTTACCTTATTCCCCTTTTCTTTGTTGGGGGAAGCAAAGAGATGGTTGAATTCAGAGCCCGCAAACTCAATCACTACTTAGTATGATCTAGCTAGAAATTCCTCATTAGATTCTTCCCCTTTAGGAAGACCGTTAAATTGAGAAGTGACATTCTCAGCTTTTGGCAGAAAGGTGGTGAAGACCTATACCAGCTTGGGACAGATTCAAATCAATGTTGATGAGTTGCCCTCATCATGATCAAAGCAAATGAAGTGCTAGTGCATACTTTCATTGGGGGTTAAAGCCTAACACCAAGATTCTGCTTGATTCAGCTACAGGTGGACAAGCATTAGAGAAGACTTATGCAGAGTTGTACACCTTGCTGAATAGGATATCTCAAGGTAATCCGTAGTGGAACGGTAGTGGGTTTAAGCCAAGTGTACAGAAAACCGTAGGGGTATTAAAGATTGATGTTGTGACAACTTTAACTGTGCAAATTTCAGCCATGCAGAATATGATGAATACTCAATTCAGTATTATGGCATTGTGACAACAAACTTCTCAAGTTAACACAGTCCAGCAAACACCAACTTGGTGTGAGATTTGCATTGGGAGTGATCATATTGCAGATACTTGTGGTGCAAATACAGATTCGATAAATTTTATGGGTAATGTGCTAAGAGGGGGAGGCCAACAAAATTATGGGAACACTTAAAACCCAAGTTGGAGAAATCACCCAAAGTTCTCTTGAGGTGGAAATCAAAAATCATGTTCAACGTGAGAATCAGTATAGACCTCAGGGTAACACGCAAGGATAACAAAGGCAGATGCAAAAGGGAGCAACCTAAACCACAATCTGGGAATATGAGTGTCAAATAGATGTTAAAGAAAATCATGGAAGATCAAGCTCAGTTAGAGGGCTAATGTGAGAAATAATCAGTTAGGTACCCAGAATTTGGAAAAGCAATTTCGGAAATTGGCTAGTGCTCAAAATTCTAAACCACAAGGAGGGTTGCCTGTCAACACAGATCCAAATCCTAAAAAGGTAAATTTGGTGAGTACCCGTAGTGGGATAAAACTGAAGGAATTATCTCTAAAGAAAAACGTTATCAAAGTGGTGAGTAGAGAGGGTGAACCCCACAACAAGGAAGAAGTTGCACCTGCAGAAAAGGTGCAACCAATCGTAAGACCATCTCCTCCATTGCCTCAGAAGTTCAAGAAGAAAAAGGAGGACGAATGCTTTGGTAAGTTCATATAATTGTTGAAACAAGTTCATATTAACTTGACTTTGGAATATGTTTTGCAAGGTATACCAGGGTATGCGAAATATGTCAAAGAAATTGTAGCAAATAAAAGGAGATTGACTGAATATGAGACGATAACACTTACTAAAGAGTGTAGCTCCAGGATTCAAAATAGGTTACATATGAAGTTGAAAGATCCGGGTATCCTTACGGTACAAATTACCATCGGCCAGAGTATCCATGTGCGAGGTTTGTGCGATTTGGGGGCTAGCATTAATTTAATGCCAACTTTATTGCATAAGAAACTGGGGTTGGGTAGTCATAAGCAAACTACCATTATTTTACAATTGGCTGATAAAATTTTAGCCAGATTGAGGGAGTTGTAGAAGATGTGCTAGCGCAAGTGGGATCTTTGATTTTTTTGGTGGATTTTGTAGTATTAAACTCTGAGCCAAATCCTGAGGTTCCATTTATATTAGGTCGCCCATTCTTAGCTACTGGGAAGGCAATTATTGATGTAACTGATGGTCAACTTACTATGAGGGCTCACGATAAGGTAGAAGTTTTTGATGTATATAGAGCCTTAAAAATGCCACCGTTGTATGAGGAATTATCTACCATCACTGTGGTAGATCTGGAGGTAGATTGTAAACACATCTTGGCTAAAGACTCTCTTGAACGAGTAATGAGGGGTGATGAGATCTATGCAGATATTGACGCACATGAAATTGTGCGAATGTTAGACTTGGTTGTGATTGAAGAATTGGACAGAAGATGGGAACCATTGAACAGAGTGTTACGGCCGCCTCCTAAGCCCTCCGTTGAAGAAGCTCCTAAGTTGGAATTGAAAGAACTTCCAGCACATCTAAGGTATGCATTTTTAGGTGTAAATGATACTTTACCTGTTATTTTGTCTGCAACATTATCAGATGAACAGGTGGAAGCAGCATTGTTGATTCTAAAAAAGCGCAAAGCAGCAATAGGGTGGCAGATGTCAGATATCCAAGGTATAAGTCGAGCTTTGTGTATGCATAAGATATATATGAAGGAAGGATACAAAGCAAGTGCTCAACAGCAGCGAAGATTAAATCATTTAATGAAGGATGTGGTTCGGAAAGAGGTAATCAAGTGGTTAGATGCAGGGATAATGTATCCAGTATCAGAGAGTAAATGGGTAAGTCCAGTGCAGTGTGTGCCTAAGAAAAGTGGATGACTGTAATAACCAATGACATAAATGGATGGATCTCAACAAGAATAGTAACAGTGTGGAGAATATGCATGGACTATATGAAGTTAAATGAAGCCACCAGAAAGGATCATTATCCAGTTTCTTTCATTGACCAAATGTTCGCGGTTTGGCAGGTCAGGAATATTATTGCTTTCTTAATAGATACTCCAGGTATAACCAGATTGTAATTGCACCTGAGGATTAAGAGAAGACAACATTCACATGCCATTATGGTATCTATGCCTTCAAATGCATGCCATTTGGGTTATGTAATGCTCTAACCACTTCTCAGAGATGCATGATGTCAATTTTTCACAATATGGTGAAATATTTTGTGGAAGTATTTATGGATGACTTCTCAGTATTTGGTGAGTCCTTTGAGCTATGTTTGTTAAATTTTGATAGAGTCTTAGCAAGATATTAAGAAACCAATTTAGTTTTGAACTGGGAAAAGTGTCATTTCTTGGTGAGAGAAGGGATTGTGTTGGGTCACAATGTATCGAAAAATGGACTGGAGGTGGACAAAGCCAAGATTGAAGTAATTGAGAAATTACCACCTCCAGTATCGGTTAAAGGGGTGAGAAGCTTTTTGGGCCATGCAGGTTTCTATAGAAGATTCATTAAAGATTTCTGCAAGATTGCAAAACCCATGTGCAACCTGTTAGAGAAAGAGGTGAAATTCAAGTTTGACAAGAACTATTTAGAGTCCTTTGAAGTATTGAAACAAAAGATGATCGAAGCCCCTATCCTTGTAGCATCAAATTAGGAGTTTCTGTTTGAATTGATGTGTGACGCTAGCGATATTGCAGTTGGAGCAGTGTGGGTGCAAAAATGAACTAAAGTGTTTCACTCCATATACTATGCGAGCAAGCCACTAGATGCAGCCCAAGCAAACTGCACCGTAACTGAGAAAGAAATATTGGCCTTAATGTATGCGTTTGACAAATTTAGGCCATATCTGGTGGGAACAAAGGTTATAGTCTACACTGACCATGCAAACATCAAATATCTCTTCAATAACAAGGATTGCAAACCCCAGTTGATCAGACGGATCTTACTTATCTAGGAATTTAATTTAGATATTAAAGATAGGAAGGGTTCAGAGAATCAGATAGCCGACCATCTGTCTAGATTAGAAGATTCATCTCTTGTGGCAAAGGAAGGAAAAATCCGGGAAGAATTCCCTCATGAACAACTTTTAACATTGGACATTACATATGTACCTTGGTATGTTGATATTGTGAATTATTTGGTAAGTGGATTATTCCCACCCGGGCATCAACACATTAGAGACAGAGATTGAAGTACAATGCTAAATTCTACATATGGGATGATCCTTATCTGTTTAAGTAGGGTCCGGATCAAATGCTGAGGAAGAGGCCCCAAAAGTGTTAGAAAGTTGTCACTCTTCACATATGGTGGACATCATGGGGGAGAACAGACGCACATAAGGTATTACAATTTGGATTCTTTTGGTCTACCCTATTTAATGATGCGGTGTTGTTGGTTAAAAGATGTGATAGTGCCAAAGAATGCACCCCATTTCAAGAAGGCATGAGATGTATTTGAGTAACATTCTGGAGGTGGAAATCTTTTATGTTTGGGGGATTGATTTTAATGGGACCATTTTCGTCGTCTACAGGGAATCAATATATTTTAGTAGCACTAGATTATGTGTCCATGTGGGATGAAGCAGTACCATTACCAACTAATGACTCTAAAGTGGTTGTGAAGTTTATCCGGAAACACATTTTCACCAGGTTTGGCACTCCTAGGGCAATTATAAGTGATGGAGGTAAGCATTTCATAAATAACTTCATTTGTAATTTATTGTCTAAGTATGGAGTGAGGCATAAAGTGGCAACTGCATACCATCCTCAAACTAGTGGACAGGTTGAAATATCCAATAGGGGAATTAAGCAGATTTTGCAAAAAATTGTAAATGCTCATATAGAACTACGTACAAGACACCAATAGGGAGTTCTCCCTACCGAATGGTCATTTGAAAAACATGTCACTTGTCCACTGAAATAGAACATAAGGCATATTGGGCAATAAGGAAGCTAAATCTGGATATTGAGTTATCTAGTAAGAAGAGAGTCACCCAATTGCATGAGCTCGAAGAGTTCAGGCCGCATACATATATATATGAGAATGCAAAATTATATAAGGAAAAAACTAAACGGTGGCATGACAAGAACATAATGTCACGCAGTTTTGAGCCAGGCAACCTGGTGTTATTGTTCAACTCCAGGTTGAAATTGTTTCCAGGGAAACTTCGATCGAAATAGAGTAGTCTATTTGAGGTGGTGCGAATGAATCAACACGGTGCAATTGAGTTACGAAATAAAGGTGATAGTTCCACATTCCTTGTAAATGGACAAAGAGTCAAACATTACATTGGCAAGAATGTGGATTGTGAGGTTGAAAAGATCACTCTAGATGGGTCATGTTGCGACGTTAAAATAGGCGCGCTACGGGAGGCAACCTATGATTTATTATAATAGTTAGGTTTGATTTGCTTTAGCTTAAGTTTTTCAAAAAGAATATATGAGTCATTCCTTGACCGTAACTACGACGCTGGACGGTAGGCAGCCCATCAAGGTTTCCATTAAGGGGTTGTTATGAAAGACTTAGCATCTAATGATGAAGAGGCAGTGGGCCAAGTGACAGTTGCGCTTTGCGAGGTGAGTGTTGATAGCTGCGCGTTGCAAGGCTAGTCTCAAATTTAGCCTCGCCTGCAAAAATTTGAGGCAGAATACCTCATGTTGAGCGCGTGTCGCGAAGAG